TAGGTTACGAGAAGATGACGGTTGATAAAAGTTACTCAAAACAGGTCAGTTTCTCCTTTCCATAGATCAGATCAGAAAAGAAATGTATAATGTGTATTTTGTAATAACGATAGTGGTTGGCATGTAAATAAATGATCAAATCTGATAAGTTTTAATCGGTTTTGAAAAGTCATACGAATGAGTTTTGTAATGTTTTAATGAGTATATGTAATTAATAATATTCAATTTATTTTGTTAAATAAATTTGGAAACATAGATGGGAATTTTTATAGTGATGAAAAGGTTAATTTTTATAAGTTAATATGTAAATTTCGGAAAATACTGTAGCAGTTACTGTAGCATGAACAGTAACCGCGAGTTTGAACAAAATTTTCCAGTATCTTAAAGGGGAATCGATTCCCTACTACAGGGAATCGATACCCCCACTGTTCATCGCACTATTCACTATTCACTATTCATATCGTATTTTTACTGTTCACGAATACGAATTTTTGAACTCAAAATTTTATAACAAGCACAAGTGAACCATATATGGTCGTATTTTCTTAATACAAATTAAAATGCTCGATTATTTTGAAAGTAAATCGTTTTTAAAAGTTAATGTAACATCTCGGACTCGTATTCGGGTCGGGTACGGGTTGGGGTGTTACATACGCGATCGGTCTTGGTACATTCTACGATTTCGTTCTTACCACAGGAAGTAAATAAAAGCATTCCAAGAAATTTTCAAGATTGTGGTAGTAAGGGATTTCCCTTTCCACGTTAAGCACGCCCGAGAGACCATTGCTTCCCAAGTCAGAGCTGTGAAGGTCATTCCATTCAGTAGAAGAATAGATTTCCAGAGATCGACAGCCATGGGATAAATGGAAAACAAGTGATCCCTTGTTTCATTACAGTTTCTGCAATTTACACAAATAACAGCAGTATTTATTCCCATTTTTTGTAGGCGATCACTGGTAGATAACCTGTTCAAAATGGCCATCCAAACGATCATGTTATGCTTTGGTATATGCATATGATACCAAATGAGCCTGTGCCATTCAACATTCGGCCGCTGTATCCGAATCTTGTCCTAAATTTTATATAAAGTTTAGAGGTTAAAAAAAATTACCATTTCATTAAATTTTTTTATATTTTTAATTTTGTAAAAAAATTATATAAATTTTATGAATTTAATTTTTTTAAAGAAAATATATAAATAACTTATTAAAAAAACAAATATATAATAAGGTTAATTTGATCAAATATACATTCTAATAATATTTTATTCTTTTAACCAAACATAGTAATCTTACATTCCTGCTAAGCCAACCAAACACAAAATACAACATTCTCAGTAATCTTATTCCCTGGTAATCTTACATTCCCACTGATAATCTTACATTCCGTAAACCAAACGCACCGTAAAATCTTAAATCTTAAACTCAATTAAAAAATGTATTTATTTAAAAAAAAACTCAATTAAAAAGTATTTTATCTGAAGGATTAAATTATTTTGTTTAAAAAAACTGAGCTTTATGTTGTTAAATTTAAAAATGGACCGGCATGATTTTAAAGAACTGCAAATTTGTCAAAACTGTATAATTGATTCTATTATTTATTTTCAATTAATTTAATTTCATAAAAAATAATATTTAAAAACTGAAATATTTTTTTTCAAAAAATAGTTTGGCGGTTAAATATCACTAATACATTAAATTATTTGGATCGGTGCATTTTAAATTCTTAATATTTTAAATGATGTGATAAAAAGCAAGAGATAAGTTTTTAAAATTTTCTTTATTTTTTATATTATGTGATTGTATATATATAAAAAAAATTAAATTTGATTATGAAATTTTGACATATTTTCTCTCAAGTGATTTGAATTTAAATAATATTATTTTATAAGATGTGTGTTTAGAACATTAAAAGAAATTATATTATATTTGGTTTAGACCGGTTTATATTCATGAGATGTATAGATTACGAAGTTGTTGTTACTACTAACATATCGAATCTTAAAGTTTGTAAATTAAATAAATTGAGTTAAAAATATTTTTTTATCTTTTTCGTACCTAATTTGAATTAATCGATTTTATATATGTAAAGACAACCATGCAAAGGGTCTACATTATTAAATATATAACTTACAATTACATATAAATGCTATAAGCAGCACAGGAGATGGCAACATCTCAGACTGTATTATTACTACATCCGGCTGAACTTTGTATGCTTTTGTTCTCCTATACAAGTATAATTCTTCCGACAAAAGCAGAGAACTAAAAATCAGAACAAAAGAAGACCCTTGTATGAATTAGTGAGAGTAGGCATAGGTGTAGTAGATTTGTATGAATTCGGATACGTGTATAAATCCGTCATCGAGTTCCCGAATACCCTTGTGTATACCATCTCGCCGAGCATTCAGATAACCGGATCTGGTACACTTATCTCCATGCCACCAGGACTCGGCATAGGTGAATCGGGACAACCCCCTGTTGGGTGTAGTAGATTTGTGGTTGATATGAATAACCATGGTGATCGAATGGCATCCGAAACTGTAGACCATCGGTAGTGTTAAGTGACCTTATCATGCCAAGGCCACTGGTAGGACCGAGAGGTCGGTTCGGAGTATTCTTTGTTGATGCCTTAGCTATTAGGCCCCTTTCATAGAGCGGAATCAGCGTGGCATGTGAAACTTCAGCTTTGCAAACCGGACACTGCTGATGTTTACGGTTCAGGTGTTCAGCGTAGATGGTTTGAAAACGAAGCCATTTGTAAATGCAAGGCCAACAATACAGGTGACCACATAGAGTAACCACCGGATCTCGCACCGAGTCGAGGCAGATGTTGCATTCGAAACCGGCGGAGGGATTGTCATCAGAACTCAGTGAATTCTCCCACTTCTTCAAGGAATTTTTACCCTCTCCACTTAAAGGGTCATTAGCAACTTCTAAGCACTGTTCAACGGACATCTGCTACCTAAATCTGTAAAAGAAATACCAGATTAGAATCACGAGAATCTTAATCGAAACACCAAAACACTATATTTCTAACAATTAGTGTGATCAAAGTTTCCCATCTCAGCTACCAAAGTTTGATGGATAATTATTACAAGTTCCATGCTTCTACGTCAAGCAAAATACTATATATAGCATAAGATTATGCGTGAAGGCATCTTCTCCATCCAATTCCACAAGTGGTACACAAATCTTTATGTGCTCAACAACCCCTTTAAAACTACATGAAATCATGAGCATTTATCTTCCAACGGTGGAGCACCAAACCCTACACAGGTCATATCAAATTGATAGCCCAAAATGCATATCCCAAACGCAGAAAACATGTTAAATTTTTTAATATCATCCAGTAAATCAGATTAATTGTGGGTTATTAAATTTCGTTATTTGGTTGCCTAAAATGAATAATTTCGAATCACCTTCCTGTATTGAACTTTTAACATTACTCGATGTTAATATGCTCATTGATTTCTTAAATTAGTCATTTAATATTTCAAATTGTCCTTTTAAAATTTTGAATTAGCCATACATTATAACAAATTATTTTTCAATTTTTTGCACCGATTGAATGAGTGTCTCGAACTTGTGATAACTTAGAAAAGAAGTTCTAATCTTATCCTCATGAACTACTTCAATTTTTTCCTATGTATATAAAACAATAAAACAATAATCTTAAAAAAATGTATCGACAAAACAAATGCATCACAAGCATTACAATTTCAGTTACTTATAATGAATGTACCTCGTTCTTGGTATTCTCGGAACTCATGTCGATATGATGTTTACATTCCATCTTAACTTGTTTTGAGAGTGTTAAGTTTAGATCCATCATCTACGTAAAAAAAACTGAAGTATAAGGCCAAACCATATGAATCAAACATATCGTATCGATACTCTACATGGTTGTATCGATACACGAAGATGTATTAAAAAACAATAAAGAATTGTGGTACCGACACTTTATAAGTACCCATACATAACTGCTCGAGTACTAGTACACTGGCAGTGTGTACCGACACACTCTTCACAATTTGAAAACGGTAATCGGGAATTGGATTGAAAAAAAGGTTTCAACGTAAAAATTAAGGTTAGATTGTTCCAATTGGGGTTCTAGGAAGAGAATTTTGGAAATCAATTAAGGAATTTTGGTTATACAATTGGAGGAATTTTAAAATGAGAGATAAGATTAGGGTTTAGAAAATTTGGGATTAGGAAAAAATAATGAGAGGGGAAACTCCCACACAGACAACTACAACCACGACTATGCGCATAAAAAAATTCTAATCTTACACACAATAGGACCAGAAACAGCCACGAAAGAAATCAAGGCACCAAATCGTTTGGACTAATTCTATCGTAGTTGAACATCATCGCTTGGCTCGTCAAAAAATGATTACCCGGCCCTTAAACCAATTCGTAATTGTTAAATAAACCATTAGAAAAACACCAAAGTCTAATTAGTTTCCCTCATTCCCATAACAACAAATAAAATTATTAATTAAACATGTTTGTTTTTGCAACGAAGGCCACCATGCCTTTCCTTCACCTAAACACTGACCTTTTTTCTGAGATACTTCCCCCTAACAAACCATCGTCCAGTGATGGTTGGTGTCGGCTCCAATACGTTGAATTGACCACAATAATTGTAGCTAACTCGTAATTAAAAGAGAGTATCACAATTTAAGAAAATACGAAAGAATAAAAATGAAACACTGATTAATTTATACAAATTAAATTACTTCAGTGGTTGAAAGAATAATTATTGTTCTTATAGATCACAGATTCGAACATTAACAACTGTAACCGATTAATTTAACGTTTATTATCAAATTAAATTAATAAGAAAAGAAGGGAGGTCAAACATGCCGATCAATAATAATACTAAAAATCTTATGAACTATTCAAGAACGCCGTCTCGGAATCAAAATATCATTATTTTTATATTTAATAATTTAAATCGAATACATTTTAAACCAAAAAAAAAACTTCTAGTACAATTCTATCTCTTCTTAACAATCAACAGCAGGTCAAAAAGGTCAAAACAATTAAAAGAAGAAAAAAAATCTTCAAATCGGGTAAAAATTGAAGCTTGTGGTGACGGGGGCTTTTATCTATGAGCAGTGATCAAAGTCTCGATGAACCGTAAGCCATCAAACTTGGGTGCAAATTTCTCGGTCAGGGTTGCAGAATTCTCTTGTCCTTTCTCCTTCTGCAAAATATTAAAAAGAGTTCAATCATCATCTTAGATTCGAAAATTAATAAATTGAAGGGAAAAAACAATGGTCTGATCTCAAAGAATCATTTGAAGGTTTCATGGGACGGGGGAAAATAGAAAAACTAGAATTCTCAAACGTTCAAATCGAAAATTCCGCCAAGAAAGACGTCGGATTTGAAAATAAAGAAAATCGCGAACAACATTGATATCATATCATCATATTATGAACAAATTTTCTTTTCCGACAAAAGGAGAGAAACCCTTTTTTTTAATCTAAAAGCAAAAAGGAAAGTAACGATGTTTTACCTCGCTAGAAAACTGAAGATTGGAGTTACAAGTAAGAGGGGAAGAAGGGGCAGAGAAGATGAGAGCGGCGGAAGTTGAGGCAGCAGCAGCCATGGAAGCAGCAAAGAGGGCCGATATCTTCATGATTGACGACAAGAGATCTGGTTCAAAGAGAGAAACGCTAAGAAAAATGTTATTTTCTTGGACGGGAAGTAAAACAAGAAGAAAAAATATGCGGAAGAAAATTTGTTAGAAAAAATTGGTGTTTGACGGCATTTATATATTTGGGGAGTCGTTAGTTAACGGAAAATAAAGAAAAAACGAGGAACATAACTCTTAAAGGAGAGCAACAGTTGATACCCACTCCAATTTGAAAGAGAATAAAAAATTGAAGGTCAAAGATCGAAGGTTGAAGCAGGGGTTCACCGATGAGTGTGAATGGTGTATCCCCTTCGAAGAACAGTGCCAAGGTGGATCAAGTAGACATCGGTCTTCAGCTACAATTTGGAGAACTAAATTCAGCGCTTCCTCTACCTAGAAACGATCTATGGAGCTGGTAAGACCTTCAGCCGCCATTGCATGTGTTGCCTTATTACCGTTTCTTCCAATGAAGCTGAAATCACAGGAGTGGAAGTTACGTACGAGGAACTTAGCATCTCGGGTGAGAGATCTGATTTTTGAAAGGCCAATTTCGTTGCTATTCAATTTGTTGATGATGGTTTTTGCATCACCCTCGATTATAATCTTGCTGAGTCTAATGTCTAATGCAAATTGTATTCCCTATAAAGCAGCTAATGCCTCGACTATGAAGACAGACGTGACCGGATTATTGTTGATATGACAAGATCCCAAAATATGCCCTTCATTATCGTGAATGATGATACTTGAACAACTTTTGTTTTCCTGCTGAATGAAGCTCGCATCAACATTAACTTTGACGATCGAATTCGGTGGAGGTTCCCATTTGGCTTGATTATGAGTATGTGGGTGAGTCAAGGCTGGGTAAATTGATGATAATTCACAGCAGTGACTATAAATGAAGGTAAGTACTCTTGAAACTGTTTGTTTTTGTCCTTCATAAATATACCTATTTCGTGCTCCACATAGAAACCAAATAGCGATGCCTATTATAGTATGCTTGATTTTGTTATTTGTTGTAAAAAGCACCAAAAACCATTCTTAGTACACCAATAAGTAATCTTCCCACAAGTGAATTAGGTTTAGAAATGATAAACCACCCTTGTTTCGTAAGAAGCGCGATATTAAGATTGCTGAAATCTCTAAAGCCCATACCCCTTTCATGTTTAGGCTTACGTAGCATATCCCAAGTACACCAATAATGCCCTTTTTAGTCGAATGTTGCCAACAGTATCAAGCTGTGATGACCTCTAGTTCTTTGTAGAAACTACTAGGAAGGAGGAAACATGACATTGCACAGATGAAAATAGATTGGAGCACGGATTTGATGAAAATCTTCTTTCCTCCAACTAATAGAAGATGAGTGCTCCAGCTTTGTATTCACCAATTGAAGTTATCTTTCAATTTGAGAAGTGCTTTCTTCTTCTTACGATCAACCATGGAAGGTAAGTCAAGATAATAACCAAGATCGTTAACTATTTGAACACCTGAAATTCGATAAACATCAGAAGCAATTGTAGCATTCATCGATAGTTTTAAAAAATGTGGGATTTATCGAAATTGATACGTTAACCAGAACAGTTTTAATCTCCATAATAGTCTTTAAAGATTGGACCTCACCTTCATTTGCTTCCTAAAAATGAGACTATCATCAACAAAAAATATGTAGGTAATCGGAGGTGCACCAATAAGGACTTACACATTCACCCTGATAAAACCCCATTCGGATATCTTACGAAATCAAGAACCGGCGAAAAAAAGACGCCCGATTACTTTTACACACCAGTACCCAATTCTAAGGAGAACTATCTCGAAGATCTAGTCGCCATCGTAGATTTATTGTTGAACACGACCTCATTTCTACACAGCCATACCGACCAAAAACTTTCCTTAAAGACCAAATTCCACATTGATTTCCATATTCTTCCTATCCATAATATGAAAAATGTTTTAACATCCCTAGGAACGACCCACTTGAGATTTCACAGCTCAGTCCACCTTCGTCATACTTTTCACACTATTTCACAATGATACAAAAGATGAGTTATAGTCTCTTGCTCCTTGCGGCACAACAAACATGCCGTATTTTTTACAGACTATACACCTCTCTCGCTAATTCCACTATAGAAGGAATTCTCTAATAAATTGGCTTCCACAAGAAGGCTTCGACCTTTGGGGACGCGATATTCGCCCACAATAAGCTCCAAACATGAAACAAGAGAGCAAAAAATCTTTGGGCTATAACTTCCACCGGCAAATCCGTTCCATAATAAACGATCAAATTCAAGACTTCCAGCAGTAACTTTATTTATTGTTGATACAAAATCTTCTCATAACCGGACTTCCCACTCAAATATGTTCCTTCTAATTTTGATATTCCACACCCATATACCATTAATTCTTGAACCGAAGTCGCAAACCTTTCCATGCTATAATTCTCCCAAAAGTCAATACCTGTACCATCCCCGACGACACAAGCAAGGTTGGAAGAAAAAGGATAATCAACCTTCGCAAATGTTTGATAATATTTTTCCACATCCAAGAGACATTTCTCGAGTGGAGGTGTCAAGGAATTAACGATATACAATCCAACTCATACTTGGCATCCACCACTTTCCTCCACAAACAATCAACATCGCTCCCATACCTCCACAACCATTTGTTCAATAAAGATCGGTTAATAAGTTTTAAATTAAAAAATCCAACCCATAAGCTATCGGTTTACAGACTTTATCCTACTTCACCCAATGAATGACTCTTCCTGCGTTGGATCTCCACATAAAATTAGCAATCAGCTTATTCATTCAACCCATATGTTTTTTCTTCCCGATTCCATATTTCTCAAAACAAAATCCAAGAACCCCTAATCTACTGAGTCATAGGCTTTTTCAAAATCAGTTTTAAAAACAATTGCTTCTTCTTCCTCCGTTTCATATCATCAATGATTTCGTTAGCGATTAAAGAACAATCCGTAATTTGTTTTTTAGCCATAAAAACGAATTGACTGTTGCCACAACTCATTGATACATTGTGCTAGTCTCCTTGAGAGAACCCGAGCTAATATCTTATACAAACTTCCTACATGCCGGTCCAATGAGTTTTAATAACCTGGGCGAGATAATAATTTTATGCCCCTATAATCTTCTTTCGTGGTTGAATATTTTCTCGTCAGTTTTTAGATCAGCGGGAGAAAGATGGTGTAAGCTATGGGGTGTCAAAGGGATCAGAATTAGTTCTATGGAGCTTTGTTTGCAGAACAAGTTTATTTTACTGGTTTATTTGTTTTGAAGAATCAGTTTATCCTCCCTATTTCTGGAAGTGAATGCTGCAGGCTACCTTTCTTTTGCTATGGCTTTGTAAAAATATATATATATATGTTCCACTTTAAATTGATTTATGATTGTGGGTGCTCAATGTGTTAATGAAATACACACTTAGATTAAAAAAAACTAATTCACAGAAACATTTTGTCAAACAGTTGGTGTGCGTAAAGAAACATCAATATTTCAATTAAAACTGATCATAATCAAATGCTAAATCCATGAATTTGATTCATTAAATTCGAAAAAACATAATTCTCAATCAGAATATAAATCAAAATAGATCAAACACTCAAATTTTGAATAAAAAATTCAAGAAGAGTAAACACATCAAGTGAAGTCATTTTCACTAAAAAAACACATAAGAAAGTCAACATACCAGTATCAGAGATAGATTGATGGAAGATTACACCTGCAAAGGTCGAGCATATGATATTGATATCAAGCAGTACAAGTGCCCAAGTTGCAATAGCAAGAGCTAAGAGGCCAGAGGGCTAGAGTTTGAAAGTAGTAGGTTTAGTATTTTGGACTTTAAATCAAATTGAAACGAAACAGACAAGGTCCGTTTGATAACCTTTTCTGTTACTATTTAGAAGTAAAACAGTTTACACATTTTATTTAACGAATGAAATTCAATGACTGCAGATGAGATTTTATGTTTTGCTACTGTCCTTTCAATATATGTTGCCCTGGGCTAAGACCCCGATCGCACAGGTATTAAGGCCAACCCTGACTCCCTACAAGAGAGATAGGTCATAAGTCGTCGATGCCCGTCGAATCATTCTTTTTTGGGATCAACATGATAAAAGACCGATTGAAACCCTTGTCTTTTTCCCTGCCACTATGAAAGTGGGAGAGGAAGTCCATGATTTCTCCTAGGAATATGGCTCCAGAATTTCTTATAAAAATCTAAATTACAAGAGGCTGGTGGGGTCCCCATGTTGCCGGATCTACATCATATGAAGGCTGCATCTCCCTCTCTCCAAATTCAAAAAATGCGTTTGACTTTACCCCAAATAAATATGTAGTTGAATCAAACCATAAGATACACGAATAAATATACTTATTGAATTGTCCAAGGTACAGTGTTCATTTTATTTTTCTTCATAAAACTTGCAGTCAAAGGAAGGTTCTGAAAGCAATCATTGCCAGAAAACGATAGATAGGCAATCCATGGAGTTAATATGACCCTAAAAAAGAAACCTAATATTTGTTTTTGGTCACTCATTTTTGGGATTGTTTAAATTATATTTTAATATATATAATTTTAGTACGTGTGTTTTTAGGATTTAAAATTTAATTTGACTGATTTAATCATTCATTTGAATTAAAAAAAAATAACATTTGCTTTAAAACTGGCAGTGGAAAAAATTGAAATATAAAACTTAAACTGATAAAAAAAATATGGAAACGCGGGAAGGGAGAAGGGAAAAGGAGAAGAAAAACCGTATCAAAATATTAACCACCAAAAGTAAAAACAAAAAATAATTATAATAAAAAGTATTAAAAAAGTTTTTTTTAATTAAAGTAATAAAAAATTTAAACGCGTAAGAAAGCCTCCCAATCCCCTATTTCCCCAAAAAAGAAATAAAAATAAAAATCCAAACCGGCTGCCACTTTCTTCAAAGTTCAAACTTCCTAATTTCAGTTTTTCTTTTCGGTTTAATGCGATGTCTCTCCGTTACCGCCCCGGCACTCAGTCGGGTCCGCCACGAACGGTGCCGCCGGAAGATGAGGCCTACAACATAATC